TACGTAGGTCTCATAAAATTCAGTTTATGACAGAACAATAGTCAATACCATTTGTATTATTGCCTTCCTTTATTTTTTGGACATTTGTTAAAATGTTTTGGAGTGGTGGTGGAGTGGAGTGAAAATTACGAATGCACTATTATTCCCAAAGCGCGGAATTGAAGACACTATTCCATTTGTTCCTCTTTTACACAGTCAAAATAGCATACTAGTAACTAATGCATCAGTTTTATAATACAGAGCACATTTTAAGCACCAGAAAACACAAAACAATAATATTATGTTAGCAAACACAATCCTGCAAAATGATTTACAGATGCTTATTAAGACTAAAAATAGTAACTGATAAATTTCATGTGAAAAACAGGAGCACTCAAGATTAAACGGCTAACATTCAGGAAATATAAATCAATATATCCTATAGGAGCAATAATACCAAAAAGAGATCTAATTTTGAACTTGCTAAAGAGAGGCGGATGATAAAACCTCAAACTCTCAAGTCGAAAATAAACTAACAACGTCACGGCTATAAACAAAAAGACCAACAGACAAAACAACAGTAAACAAAACTCAACATAGAAAACTTAAGACTGAGCAACACTAACTCCAACAAAACTTGGGGTGATCTCAGGTGTTCCAGAATGGTACGCAGATTCTGCTCCACATGTGCACCCGTGTTGTTCATGTAAGTTCAAAACCCGTTCTATTGTTGTTTAATGTTGTAGATCACGTTCAGTGAAAAGGGGTAGTTGTAACGACAATTGGATCATTATCGTCGTCATCTGTGAAACAGATATTCCATAATGGTCAACAACTCGTCATGGAGTCCGAAAACATTTACAAAGGAATGATTTAAACGTCACCATTTGAAACTCTTGGTTTGGTAGCTTCCTTGTGAGCAGCAACCCTCTATCTAGGAAATCATGATAGGAAACATCCCTGGAATATCGTATCAAATAAGAGATATATATACTTCATATGCTGGCACTGCTGGACTGCTGCCACACAGAAATGGCAAATTCACAATTGGCAGCTGAAATCATCGGTTTTGTCGAAAAGTTTTGTTTTCAACTGACCCTCATTTTCAATTTGTAGAGGTTTGATCGGATAGATGTGTTCAACATCGTCATCAAATTTCGGATTATTAAGTGAGAGAATATCATCTATATAGCGGAAAAGGAAGTTAAGGATAGCTAACTTCTTTTCTTTCGTCCTTAGAAGTTGCTGTATTAAGTCAGCCTCATATGTTTTGACGTACATGAACAATTGGTAGTGCTCAACATTCTAAATATTTTGGCACTTGTCAGATTTTCTCTATTTATAACGGTTTTCAAATTATACAAAAAACTTTTTACCTCTTTGTTTTATTTAAAGCCATGTCGACCATCTTGGTATGCAGGCAGGAATATCGGATTTTTTAAAAAACTTGATACATCAATGATGTTTGTGACCAAGTTTAGTTAAATTTGGCGTAGTAGTTTCAGAGGAGAAGATTTTTGTAAAAGTTATCCACGACGGACGACGGACGGCAAGTGATGAGATAACGGAATCATGTGTGTTTAGTCAAAATCGGTAACGTGAAAACACACAAAACAGGTTTTACTCGTATTTAAAGTTATCTTTTATTGTTTACAGTTTTAATATATTATGTATAATATTTTTTTTATAAAAAAATCACATAATAATAACAGATTTTGAATTGGGTGTTGATTTACTTATGGTGGAGTATTCATAAAAGAGTGCACACCATTTTTGTTTGTAAATGGAATAGGGAAACTGAGAAACAAATGTTGAAATAATTTTCCGTCATCAAACATGTCAAATGGCAAAATCAAAAACTCAAACACATCAAACGAATGGAGAACAAATGACATATTCCTGACATGGCACAGGCCTTTTCTTATGTAGAAAATGATGCATTAAACCTGGTTTTAAAGCTAGCGACACATCTGAATTGTATGACAGTCGCATAAAATTCCATTATATTGACAAAGCTACCTCAAGTAAAAACGCTCTGCCCCCAAAGAAAAAAAGACTACTAAGTCTTATTCTTTATCAAAGTTTTTTTTGACATGTTTATACTTTTTATTCTGATTCAAGTGGACGTTTTTAATATTTTTCATACTTTAATTGATTGGTAAAGAAAACATTTCTTTAGAGGATTGTTTATTAATCCATGAGATGTTGAGTCAGTGGATAAGTACATGCATATACATTTGAACTTCGGTACATTGTAACTAAAATTAATAAAGATGCTGATTGGCAATCATACCACATCTTCTTTTTTATATTATAACTATATATTTATTAAAGTATTTCTTCGGATTTTTTTTCTATTATAGCAGAATATAAAAAATAAGGAAATTTTCTCATAAAATGTGTTTTGGAGACTCAATCCACTCAGAATATTTAATTTTTTTTGTAATATTTCACTAAAATAGCAAGAATTTTAACACATGAGAGTACTCACAAGGTCAAAGGTGCATTAACAGCTTCCCATAAAGAAGACATTATTGTTTAATTAACTGAATGTGACTTTTTTTCCTTTGTAATACTGGTTATTTCAAGCATTCCTGTCAAGTTTTGTCATAATCAGTTCAATAGTTTGAGAAAAATCTAGTATAATGAAAGACGACATCTACAGCGGTTCTAGCAAACTTTTTTCGACAAGTCCTAACCAAGCCGCACCATGATAGAATATAGTGTGGACCAATAAATGATCAAATATTTATCATATCTGCCTTCAAACAGTTGAATATGATACAAAAGATGACTTTAGGATGATAAATACCACTTATGGACCTCTTTGTCTTCTTTGTAATGTCTCTTTTGGTCCATTTATACCTCTCATGTCCTCAAAATTTCACCCTTTCAGGCCAATAGATAAAAATAGTGGAATAACTTTCACTCATTTATGATAGAAATGTTATAACAAATGAGCAATTGAAGTATTCAAGCAGAATGGACAATCCATATAAAAGTTTACTGTCTCCAAGGAGGTTTCAATAAGTCCTTACGTAAAAATTAAATTTACGCTGCGTTCCAGAGAGGGACACAAAAAGCGTCTCTTTTAGTGAATAATTAGTTGTTACTGCTTTAAAAATGATTTCATTTACTTAACTATATATTTATCAAAATATTTCTTAGGAAAAATTTTCTATTATAGCAAAATATAAGAAATAAGGAGAAAAAGCTCCCCAAAACACTACGTTTTGCTTGTTCTGTCAAATTATGTTCATGGTAGAGTTCTATTTCAAGGACAAAATGTCATAAAATGTGTTTTGGAGACTCAATCCACTTAGAATATTTTATTATTTGTAATATTTCCCACAAGGTCAAAGGTGCACGTACAGCTTCCCATATTAGGTGTAATACCACCATTGATTTCCCCCTATTAGACTTTGTTAAATTTGCACTTTTCAAGAGATTGTGCAGAATTTATCTTTGTTTCAAATAAAGAAAAACGTGGCATGAAGAAAGTTTTATCCTGTCCAGTACTATAGACAAAATTGAACATAACATTTTATTGCATATAAGAAAATAACCATAACTGGAAGTTAGCCAATCAAATTTCCCCCCTTATTTAACCTGTGTACAAGCTTTAGTAACCATGTAACCTCAAGTGTCCAAAATATTCTATAGAAACACCAAAATAAAAAAAAAATGTTGCTTTAAAATACCCAAGATATATGTTTATGACCCAGAAATGTTTTACTGCAATAAAATGTAGGATTAATTACCTACAACTGTCAATTTCAAGGGAATATTTTTTTTCGACCTATTTTCGTATGCAACCGAATGTGACGTACCATGATATGGTGACGAGACCATTTTTAATATGCATATGAACCCCTCTTTGTACTTTGTAACAGTCCATATGAAGATATGTTCCCTCACATCTCTTATTCTTATTTATTACTTGCTCAGCAGAGAAGAAGCAAATATCAATTGTCAAGTCTATGGTTTGATCTGGCCTGAATGTACCTAGAACCTATGACACAGATATTAAATATTCCAATGGTAATTGTTATCGCTATGTACATTGTATCAACACGACTGTTCCATACGAATAGGTAACATGTTCGTGACCTCTTCATCATTGTTTTGTTACTTGTCATAGATAAAATTGTTTGATTTCAACCAGATTAGAGGTTGTTAACTTTTCGTTTATTTAGTGCTCATGCCATACTAAAATGTATGTAGTACTTAAGAAGGAAATTTTTACTGTGCTGCATCTTGTCATGTATCCTTATTGTGAGAGTAACATATTCTGATACCGGGGACACACGAACTCAGACTATATTGATTAACGAATTGCAAGTGTACCTCAACTATTACGAAATGAAAAAGGTCAAGCTTGAATTTAAGTTATTTTCAAAGGAAGAACGAATACTGAGACTAAAAGCGAATTATTTAAGTAGTCAAAGTAAATCAAATCAACTTAAAATACTGAATTCGTTCTATGCCTTTCGTTGTTCTTTATGGTAGCAAAGATATCATTACATTCCTAACTTCCCGGAGCACCTTCGTTCACATTTGTCGTGTTGTTTACACCTATTTGTATTATTTTGTTTTGTATCTAAATCGTTTATGCTTTGAAAATGGTTCTGTCTCATTTCCTTCTACACATTGTTTTTATTATTCCTTATTTATCGGGCGCACTCTATCAATCGTAAACATGTCCCTTAGCATGTGTCATTCAATGTCATATATGCAATTTTAGCACAAATACCATTTTATTGAGAACAAGTGCAATATATATGCTGTCTTGAATGATCACCGAGATAACCTTGTATTATCTTTAACACCTACGTCTATGAAATCCTACTGAAATAAAATAATCAGAACTTGCTGTCATTATGCCGTTTATTTTATTTGGATTTCTAATCAATGTACTGGCAGTCTCTGTGAAAAGTGAATATCAAAATATTAGGATTCGTGATCTAGTGCGTGAAGAAATACAGAACCATCACAAAACAAAGATTTTAAAATTGGAAACGATGGTTATGGCAATGATTGAGCAGCTTAATAAGCAGGATGAGCATATCCGAAGTCAGAATGAACGAATTCTTGAGCAACAGCGGCGCTTAAATGATCAGGACATACAAATTCATAAGCACGATCAACAGATAAACGAGGTTGTAGAACATATTTCTGAACTGCAAGAGAGTGCAATCAATGAACAGAGCCAGTTCCAATCAATGAGAGGCTCTAAAATCAGTCCTTTGAAACATACAGAACCACGTGTCTTTGTAAAAAACAGTAGCCATTCATTTATAGACTATGCAGTACGTCAGTCGATTAAGTCCATGACAAAAGAGAAAACTGGAAACAGGAAAGAAAGATCATCTTTTACAAAACGTTCAGGTATATTATAGCAAACATGTAGGGTGGTTGATTTAAGTATTATTGAACCTTAATCGAATTTTGAAATCAATAAACAGTTTACTGAATACACACTTCTAATTACCTGAAGTTGACTCTGGCTGTTTGGTTGTTGTCTCAATTATGTTACCTAATAGAACAATGTACTGTTTAACATACATTTTGGTGACATTGTGTTTTGAAGTGTACTTTAAAATCTAACTATAAAACACGATTACCTTGCCATTACCTTTCAAAGGGTTTTTGGTTATGATTGCCTTAAAAAGGTAACATACATACTACGTCACAAAAAAACCAACTTACAATATCGGCGTTTGCCAACGGATAAAACATCCTACGAAGGGTGTATCATATCTTTACTCTCGACATTTTTCGACTTTGCAAGCATCTAGAAACGTTTTATCTAATGCGATATAACATTAGTTATTATTGTGTAATTAGGAGTGTACAGAATTTTACGCCGGTGTGGATAATTTATACACTTAGATACTTAGTCGAAGGGTGTATGGATTTCAACACCCGTTTAAAAACACCCGGAAACCCCAGATTACACCAAGATTTAATTTCTTATGAAGCGTTCCTTTAATCATTTATATACCGCGGGGGGGGGGGGAGATTGGGAGGAGGGGGGGGTTTAAATTGCTTGTGTACTACAACATGCTTTCAACACCATCGTTGCTGCACATTGTAAAATTTTGCCCTTTTAGATTTTGATCTATTTTTTTCTAGTTTTAATTTTTGGAAATAAAGTATTTTTAGGGATTTGTTTTCTAATATTTTTTGGGGAAGTTGGTTCGCTAATATTTATATTTTTATTGTTTTTTAATTGTGAAATTCGGATAAACATTATCCTTGGTTGACCAACTGTTATTTATAGTTCGTTTCTGTGTGTGTTACATTTTAATGTTGTGTTTCTGTTGTGTCGTAGTTCTCCTCTTATATTTGATGTGTTTCCCTCAGTTTTAGTTTGTAACCCGGATTTGTTTTTTTCTATCTATTTATGAATTTCGAACAGCGGTATACTACTGTTGCCTTTATTTACTGTGCTTCATTCAGACAACCAAAATGATAAATAGGGAAAACAACCCAATCAAATTCAGCACATTCAGAACAATATTTTATGAATTCTTATAAAAGTGATCTATATTCATAAACCTAAATCCATGAAAGTATGCCCACGAGAAAGTTAAGTATTACCAACAGCCATTAAAAACAGACGATTTGCCCTCAAGACTTTTGGTTATTATACTTTGGTCTAATTGACGTATTCCCAATATCTGCCTTTTTACACATACAAACTTCCCATTCCTTAAGTTGATATTTGCCTTTTGGTTGCTGTTTCAATTCTTTTACCTTACATGACAATGTGCACTTTATTATACCTTTTGTTGACATTATTTATTGTAGTGTGATTTGTATGATGTATTTATAAAAGAAATTTAACTATAACACAAAATTACCCTGCCATTACTTTTTGCATGTTTTGAAGTTATGATTGCACAAAAATGTTACATGTATTGTAAGTCACCAAAAACAGAATAGCATTGTTTGTTAACTGATAATATACTTTACTACTACGTTGAGTGCGTCATATTTTACTCTCTACTATGAAAGGGTCGCAACTTAAAATATCAATTTACCTGTATGTTTTTCGAGTAGAGAAATGCTTTAACTATACGATACAATGTACAAAATACATAAACAATTCATGAAGAAAGAATGGATGAATGGGTAATCTAAGGGGTCATTTACGGAGAGTTAAGAAATATAAATTCCACAACTGCAACGAGTGTTTTACGATATGTCTCAACTCGACACAGTTACGTGTTAATATTTAAAGTGCGACGCTTGCCGAGCTTTTTAAATAATTAAAATTTAACTGTTGAGATTGGAGAAATATAATGATACACTTGATATAGTGGTGGAATCAGTTTCTCTAATGATTTTTATTCTTCCTTTTCAAAGATTTGAAGAAAACTGTGTACTTTTGATGTGACGTCGTCAGGCATGGTCGTCTTTTTTCATGACGTCACCATAGGAAAATTCAGAAGAAGCCAAGAAAATTTAACGTCACAGTTAAATTTTGACCAATCATTTGCCGAGAAAAGATTTTTCACTAGTGAGGAGAAATATTTTTCTCACACCTATCAAAAAATGTGAAAATAGCGCAAAAATTAGAGAAAGTTACATTTCAAATAAACACATGCATATGCACAAATAAAACTTATTTTATACGGATCAAAAACATCAACAGTACCAAATCATATTTTGCCACAATTGGCTGGGTTGTACTGTATAATTCGTTTATTACAACAAAACTATGTTTTACAAGTTATGGAATCGTTTTGTACACAACCAGACAACATTGAAAATTAGACTAATTCGAGCATAACATCTACATCTAAAAGTACATTTTAGGCGATCTTGGCCGTGTGCGTCAAGTCTTACATTTACTAAGCTGTAATCATGGTAAAAAAGCAGAGTTTACACTTCCGGAGCACATGAGATCCCCCGATGTTTTGTTGGTTTGTGTTGCTCACTATGTATTGTTTTGTATACTGTTGTTTGTCTGTTTGTCTGTTTGTCTTTGTCTTTTTGCCGTTGCGTAAAAGAGGGACGAAAGATACCAGAGGGACAGTCAAACTCATAGATCGAAAACAAACTGACAACGCCATGGCCAAAAATAAAAAGACAAACAGACAAATAATTGTACAGATGACACAACATAGAAAACCAAAGACTAAGCAACACGAACCCCACAAAAAACATGGGGTGATCTCAGGTGCTCCGGAAGGTTAAGCGTAGTTCATTATATGCGTAGTTAGTTCATTTTTGAATTTGAATGTCCCGTTCGACTTTTCTTTACATAAGAGGTTTTGGGGTATTTTGTTTTATTTTCCTTTTGGTAATAAAGCTCGTCACTTTATACACCCTTGGCTTACAAATATTTGAGTTTTAGCGTTTCTGATGAAAGAAAAAAAAAGCTGTAAACTGCTCAATTCTCGGCAGATATAACGTAATTTGGAATTTTGTACGAAAACCTGGTTTTTTAAATAAAAAGAGTTTAATTTGATTTGTTCTCCTACAAAGAAACAGGTTTGAAAGCTGTTAAATATAACTCTTTTGGCTAATGACAACCTAATTTGAATGAATTTTAGATAGCTTAAATATCGAGGAAGTTTTGAACGTCAATCAAACACAAAACAAGATCGACTTAAAGGCGACTACACGATATGGGGTTTTATCATTGTTGATGACCGGCACGGTTGTCTTTAATAGCTTCCATTCATTTCATTTGATCTTTGGTGGATAGTTGTCCCAATGGGAATCATCTCTTTATTTGTATACGGTAACCATGCAATGATCATTTTTCTTTTTTTCCAAAGACAATCTCGATCTAGAACCCCATCAGAAATATCGACAATACAATGTGACTATGAAAACATAAATTACAATTATGTCAATAAATATCTATAAATTATTTTTCTTTCCTTTTGATATTTGCAGGTTTGAATGATAACATTGTAGCATTTTATGCCTATATGAGTAACGGCGATCCTCAACCACGAAGAAATCAAATACTCGTGTTCGATGTCGCAAAAACAAACGTTGGACTTTCCTACAACCAACACACTGAAACCTTTACTGTTCCAGTAACTGGCGTATACGTATTTATATGGACAGTTGCCTCTAGTTCGCATAGTTTCATCTATTCCCAAATGGTAATTAATTCATATCCTTTCGGGGCCATTTTTACTGACAGTGACGAGATTGGCGATTATCATACATCAACAGGAAATGTAGTTGCAGAACTAAACCAAGGAGATGTTGTTTACATACGTACTCATCCCACTGATCTCATAAAAGGAGGTATCTGGAGTCATGACAATTTTCGTACCTATTTCAACGGATGGAAATTATAATGAATATTCTAAATTGCGTTATTAAAAAATATACTGTAAGATAATCTAGTTCCCCTGTTTTATAACGGTGGTGACCAATGATACTCTCTACCGAGAAGCAAGATATTTTAAATAAGACGAAGGAAAGTTTGAGCAGACTTTTGTAAATAGGAATATAATTTTATTCATTTAAGTAAAAGCAGAGAAATTACGTAGGCCTCATAAAATTCAGTTTATGACAGAACAATAATCAATACCATTTGTATTATTGCCTTCCTTTATTTTTTGGACATTTGTTGAAATGTTTTGGAGTGGTGGTGGAGTGGAGTGAAAATTACGAATGCACTATTATTCCCAAAGCGCTGAATTGAAGACACTATTCCATTTGTTCCTCTTTTACACAATCAAAATAACATACTAGTAACTAATGCATCAGTTTTATAATACAGAGCACATTTTAAGCACCAGAAAACACAAAACAATAATATTATGTTAGCAAACACAATCCTGCAAAATGATTTACAGATGCTTATTAAGACTAAAAATAGTAACAGATAAATTTCATGTGAAAAACAGGAGCGCTCAAGATTAAACGGCTGAAATTCAGGAAATATAAATCAATATATACTATAGGAGCAATAATACCAAAAAGAGATCTAAATTTGAACTTGTTAAAGAGAGGCGGAAGATAAAACCTCAAACTCTCAAGTCGAAAATAAACTAACAACAGTACACAAAACTCAACATAGAAAACTTAAGACTGAGCAATACTTACCCCAACAAAAACTTGGGGTGATCTCAGGTGCTCCAGAATGGTACGCGGATTCTGCTCCACATGTGCAGGTAAGTTCAAAACCCGTTCTATTGTTTAATGTTGTAGATCACGTTCGGTGAAAAGGGGTAGTTGTAACGACAATTGGATCATAATCGTCGTCATCTGTGAAACAGAAATTCCATAACGGTCAACAACTCGTCATGGAGTCCGAAACATTTACAAAGGAATGATTTAAACGTCACCATTTGAAACTCTTGGTTTGGTAGCTTCCTTGTGAGCAGCAACCCTCTATCTGGGAAATCATGATAGCAAACAGCCCTGGAATATCGTATCAACTAAGAGATATATACTTCATATGCAGGCATTGCTGGACTGCTGCTACACAGAAATGGCAAATTCACAATTGGCAGCTGAAATCATCTGTTTTGTCGAAAAGTTTTGTTTTCAACTGACTCTCATTATCAATTTATAGAGGTTTGATCGGATAGATGTGTTCAACATCGTCACCAAATTTCGGATTATTAAGTGAGAGAACATCATCTATATAGCGGAAAAGGAAGTTAAGGATAGCTAACTTAATTTCTTTCGTCCTTAGAAGTTGCTGTTTTAAGTCAGCCTCATATGTTTTGAGTACATGAACAATTGGTAGCGCTCAACATTCTTAATATTTTGGCACTTGTCAGATTTTCTCTATTTATAACGATTTTCAAATTATACACAAAACTTGCATTTTACCTCTTTGTTTTATTTTAAGCCATTTCGACCATCTTGGTATGCAGGCAGGATTGTGTGTTTAGCCAAAATCGGTAACTCAAAAACACGCAAAACAGGTTTTACTCGTATTCAAAGTTATCTTTTATTGTTTACAGTTTTAACATATTATGTATAATACTTTTTTTATAAAAAAATCACATAATGATAACAGATTTTGAATTGGGTGTTGATTTAATTATGGTGGAGTATTCATGTAAGAGTGCACACCATTTTTGTTTGTAAATGGAATAGGGAAACTGAGAGAAAAATGTTGAAATAATTTTCCGTCATCAAACATGTCAAATGGCAAAATCAAAAGCTCAAACACATCAAACGAATGGAGAATAAATGACATATTGCTGACATAGCACAGGCATTTTCTTATGTAGAAAATGATGCATTAAACCTGGTTTTTTAAAGCTAGCGACACTTCTGACTTGTATGACAGTCGCAAAAAATTCCATTATATTGACAAAGCTACCATAAGTAAATACTCTCTCCCCTAAAGAAAAAAAGACCACTAAGTCTTATTCTGTATCAAATTTTTATTCGACATGTTTATACTTGTTATTCTGATTCAAGTGGACGTTTTTAATATTTGTCATGCTTTAATTGATTGGTAAAGAAAATATTTCTTTAGAAGATTGGTTATTAATCCATGAAATGTTGAGTCAGTGGATAAGTACATGCATATACATATGAACTTTGGTACATTGTAACTAAAATTAATAAAGATGCTGATTGGCAATCATACCACATCTTCTTTTTTATATTATTGTAATAGCTGACTTTTGGGCTTTAAATAAGACTCAAGTCGCTTGCTAGGGTTCAGGATATTTATTTATCAGTAACGTAAAACACCCTGTAATATCAATTTTTTTTTTATCATTATCCCTGTAATATCAATGATAAAGTTATAAGAATTTTACAAAACAATAATACTGTAATACACATGATAAGTATAATATTCTTTCATTACATTTAATGGTATTATACAAAACATTGCACTTCAAAAATACAATTAAGTTATGAACATAATGAGAATAAATATTATGTTCAATCATTAAAATCATAGTATTAATGTCTTTTCATGTAATATTCAAATGTTCAGATTAACAACATTGATATATTAAGCGAATATTAAAAGCATCCTAAAACAAGGGAAATAACTCTATACCAAAACTATGTGCTTAACATACTTCGTAGTTAATTCAACCCATTTAAACAAAATACATTATAATTCTAATAGCATATTACTTATCCTTACCAACTTGTGGAGCAAGGTAGTTACTGTTATGGCACAAACCATTTCAAGCGTTCATACTGGTAAATCATACAGTGAATTTCTATACAACAGCTTACAAATTCTGTAAACCAAAATTACAATGTTAAATAACGGATTTTGATGAAACCGTATTTAAACATAGACATAATTATAAAACATACATTATAAATAATGTTCTTGTGTATAAAATAAAACATATCTCGGACAATACTTTAAATATGTACAGAAACGTAGTTCTCTATCTAGTACAACTTTGTTTATGTTTTCTATTTATAATCAATCAACAAAGTTATCGTGTACAGACTATAATTTACACAAGTAATACACGGTAGTATTTAAAATCTACTCATAACAAAGTCTTATCGAATACACCTCAAAGTATCGATCGGAATGTGTGTACTTTCTAAACTGATTTACATATAACTCTAACGAATGACTACCAGTAATTTATATAATAAAATAAGTGTATAATATATGCATTATATGTAGCAATCATACTTTTCGGGATCATAGAGAAAAATAACCATTCATACCAAAAATCATTCAATCTATGAAAATATATTAGAAATATTAATAAAGAGGTAAATAGGGAAAACTCACGTTGAAATGTCAAGTCTGTCATTTAATACAATTTTGACTGTTCAATATAAATTCTCAAACTATTTCAATGGCTACTGGACATAAACGTCTGTCCATTTTGAATCCATTAGTCCTTCTAACTCAAACAAACAAACTCACTACTTATCGCTAAAACTTCAAACCAACCAATCAGATTACTTGAAATCCAAATAATCATGAATATTCAACAATACGTCAATAATGTATGGAAACGTTTCAATGTAATCAAAATTTAGAAAAGACAATATGTTTTGTAGTTTTATTTAACATTTACATAATTATACATCTTTATTTTACAATTAAATCTACACAAAATAAAGAGGCTATCACATTCTCCCCTGTGTTGGAAAAATGATTTCCACGTCATTCAACTCCTCCTCCCTCTGACGAAGAAATGACGTCATCGGCATGCAAAACTGGTATTTCACTATGATGTTTCTTTCACAATCTCAATGATGGTACGTGTGATGTCATTTTCCATTCCTCTAAACATTCCTTCTTTCAGTTGTCTTTTTAACCATTCTACTTTCTGTAGCCAAGATGCTTACCCAATAGCTTGTTTGGTGATATAGTCTTTCAAATATGCAGGTGGTTTTCTAATTCTTGTTCTTGATGGTAATTCTCTTGGTGGTGTAGGTAGTATTCTGCGTCGTCTGAGCCTTGCTGGTTGTTGCGGTGTGTTATCTGGAGCCGTTGTGTTATCTTCTGTATCTGCCTCGGTATCACCTGATGTGTCTGGGAGCGTACTGCCATCCTGATCATCTTTGTCAGAAGTATCTCCTCTGTCAATCTGGTCAGTCGTTTCTTGACCTGTTATCACATCAGCCCCAAGAGGTGGTTCACCAGTGTTTAACTGTACTGGAGGGATAACGTCTTGTCCAAAACCATTCTTTTGACTACCATCAACTAGAGTCTGATCGTCAACAGCCAAGTTGACGGTCTCTTGTTGCCCATCTACCACAGGTACAGCATCACTGTTGGTGTTGCTCTGTACGTCTTCTTCTGGCATATAAATAATATAGCCCTGCTCTGGCTCCTCGTCCGATTCTGTTTCAGTTTCCTCTTTGGTACTGTCGGAGTTCGTCTTCTTTTCCTCAAGGACTGTCTTTATAGGTTGTTTCCTTGGTGCAGGGTTTCTTTTAGGCTTTGTAGCCTTTTCCAAACCGGGCAGATGTCCAATTGGTAGAAGGAGGTTTCTGTGCAGTGTTCTTTTGCGTCCTTTTCCATTTTCCTTCTGGACCACGTAAACAGGTATGTCCATGTTAGGCTGTCTAACATTTCTGTACGTGTCCTCTTCCCATTTATCAGCTATCTTATGCTTCCCATCGAAGGCGACTACTTTAACAAGTACACGATCTTCGGGTTGCAAAATGGCTCCACGGGCTCTCTTATCGTATCCCTCTTTCTGTCGACCTTGTGCTGTCTTTGCTGAACGAGATGCAAGTTTATATGCTTTCTTGAGACGCTCCTTCATAGTTTCCGCATGCTTTGTAGATGGTTCCTTAGTACCAGTATCCTCAATTCCAAATGCTACGTCCACAGGCAAACGTGGGTGTCTACCGAACATCAAGAAGTACGGCAAAAATCCAG